AGGCTGCAGTCCTTGACCCTCTGCAGCAGGTGCTTCAGGTCCTCTTCAGTTTCAGCAAGCAGGGTTGTGTCATCTGCATAACGCAGATGTAGGAGATGTAAATCATTATAGAAACAAACTGCCTATCTTTCTTCCTTAGAGTCACCAGTGAATTCTAACTGTCAATGTTAGCACCCCATACATTATGTACTACGTATGCTGCCATGGTTCCCCCAGGTTGGCAAAGGGTGTGCTATTATTATCTACATTTTACAAAAGAGGAAACTAAAATGCAGGGAGATCAAATGACATATCCAAGTCCCACACCTCTTATGTGCCAGCAAAGGTCATCTTCTTTCCCATATGCATGATACCTCTCACTGGTCCTCAAAATGTCCTGTGTCTCACTCACCTCCCTCTTCCCCTTCCAGTCTCCATTGACCAAGTCTCCCTCCTGAGAATTCCTGCTTCAGTCAATACAATAGCACCTGGCTCGCTCTTCTCCTCTCAGCCTTTCTCCCACGTACACCTACATGAGGCCAGCACAAGGCACAGTGCTCCTACAAACTCTCTAGTACTCTTGAACACCCCAGTCTGTGCCCCTGTCGGTCAGAGAACACTTTGTGACCAAGAGGTATGGCTCCACCTGACATGACCACTTATTTAATTCTCAGTGAGAACTTGAAATGGTTTTCAGGAAAAGAGACAAATAAAATACAACTATCCAAGAACAAATGGAAAATAAATACCATGAAACAGTTAGGAGAGCAGATTTTGTTAACCAAAAGCATCAAGTTAGCTATTTAGTGGTGGTGGTGGTGGTTGCTGTTGCTGTTATGTGCCATTAAGTCACCTGTGATTTATAGTGACCCTACATACAATAGCCCTAAACCATGCTCTATCCTATGGCAATCTTAATGTCTCTGACACACCTACCCCCATTACCCCAGTCACTGAATCAATCCAATTTCATCGAGGATCTTTCTCTCCTGAGCTGTCCTTCCACCCTTCCAAGCATGACGTCCCTCTCCAAGGACTAGTCCCACCATGCAACATGTCCAAAGTACGTCAAATGAAGCTTCAGAATCCTTGTCTCCAAGGAGCAGCCTGGCTTCACCCTCTCTAGGAAGAACTTGTTTGTTCTCCTAACAGTCCATGGTATATTCAATACACTTCTCCAGCACCACAGTTCAAAGGCATCAATTCTCCTTCTATCATCCCTAGTCATTGTCCAGCTTTTTGATGCATAGCAAGTAATTGCAAAGACTGTGGCCTGGATCGGGTGCACCTTAGTTTCAAAACTGACGTCATTGCTCTTCAATATTTTGGAGAGGTCTCTGACAGCAGACTTTCCCAGTGCAATTTGTCTTTTAATTTCCTGGCTGCTGGTACCAAGAGTGTTGATTGTGGAGCCAAGCAAACTGGAAACTAAATTTAACCTCACAAAATAACAAAATTTATTAAGATAGCAAATAGATGGAAATAAACTATATTTCTATCAACAGATAAATAGATACGCAAACTATGGTACATGCACACAATGTATCATATGCAATGTTAAAGAATAGTGAAGAGTTCCTGAAATACTGCACAATATAGCTGAATCTGGAGGACATTATGCTAAGTAAAATAAGTCAGGCACAAAAGGACAAACATTACATGCTGTTGCTGCTGTTATGTATAGTCTAGAAGCCTGTGACTCATAGTGGTCCTATGCATAATAGCTCTGAACCCTGCCCTATCCTGAGCCAGACTCACTGTCTCTGGT